ATCTTTACAAAGCACTGTTGTACTCTTAGAGACTCCATCTACCTAGGTTTTGTTTCTCCCACTCTCCCAAGCCTAGCCTATATTCTGTTCCATAATCAGCCTCCTAAAAGTTACCCTGCCTTCAATCCTTCACAGGCTGCCTCCAGGGAGACCCTCTCTAACTCATTAACTGATCTTTACCACCTTTATTCCACAATGGGAGGTCAATTCAGGAAATCTAAAATGGGCCCTTCCCATTCCTATTACTAAATTCTCTACCCATTAGATGATTTTTAATAGGGTGATAATCTTTAGAAACTAGAAGAAGCAGAACCAGGAATACTTTAAAAGCATACAAAAGGTCCTGTACAATGGTAAGTTTTTATATTATGAAGGAAATTATTTGATCAGTGACATTTAATAAAGAGTTGCATCTGAATAATTTTTACTTCCAAATCTGTTTCTCAGCAAGTACTTTTTAGTTATTTCACATAGGCATATTTTATCTTTAATAAGTCTAAATCATGTTAAGGTTCTAATATTTTGCATCTCCACAGGGAGGTTAGCAAACATTTGTCAAACTGACTGAGTCAACTTTTTCCTCTCATACTTATTATTAAGAAAAATTAGAAACATTTTAAAGTCAAGATTCATATATAGCTAAGGTTTTTAGCATCCCTTTCATTCCACAATATTTCAGCAATATTTTTGGGGAAGTTTTGGAAAAAACTGTTAAATTTTATTGACACTTATGAAAGCAAAACTGTTAAACAAATCTACTTTGAATTAAAAAATATAGTAAGTGAATAAGCTTCATATTAGTTTACTAGAACACTATGCCTCAATTTAAAATATAAGAGAATAAATTTATAGTACTCTAATAAATACACATTTATTAAATGGTGGTTGCCCTCAGAATGCAAGGACTGTGCATCATTTGAAAACATAATTTATTGAAATCACTGAGGAAAAATGCAACTTTACCATCTTGATAGATGAACAAAGTTATTTCAAAAGCAAACTTTAGAAGGCAAAATCATTTTTAAATGCAATGGATTAAAACCAATTCTGAACACATCATCTATAAACCAAATGTGACTCATACAGCAGTGGAAATAAATTACACATGATCCCTCATGAGCTATTCTGTACAGAAATATTCATGACAAAGAGAGAAGTCACCCAGTATAACAAATATAATACACAGCCTTTATTTTGAAAACACACTTTAAAAAACACCCAGAAGAGTATACTTAGAAGAATTTGTAATTATTAGAAATAGGGACCCTTGAAACAGGGATCCTGCCATTTATGACTATTTATTCATATTTTCAGAAAACACAAGATAATTGAGCAGTGAAGTCAAGATTTAATCCCACCTCACTGACTCAAATCCATGTTCATTATATCAATACCTGCTTCATATCTTCTCAATAAAATTGATTATAGCAAGAGCCCAAAAAGAGTATTAGTAATCACTAATGAGAGAATCCAGAATTATGACCATTCACTTAGCAATATTGGCTAAAGCTGCCAAAAAGTATTTTAGTAAGAAGATGTTGGAAACTTAAAAATACTTAAAAATATATACTTCATTATAATTTATATATGTTTCAGATAATATTCTTAAATATGTATCCTTTTGTGTTTTTTCTTTATGTGATCAATTTCACTGTAGAATTCATTATTTGAATTCTACAGTGGAGTTATAGCAGAAATGACAAAAAAAGTCAATATTGAGTCTCTAACTCTTAAAACATACTCTTCATTCATCATCCATTCAACAAGTAATAATTCAATTTACGTTAGTTATTTAATGCTAGTTTTATGTCCTAAATATCACAATGAACAGTATAACTTGAAGTACACAGGTATGTGTGTTTGTGTATAAACAAACCCAAGTTTTGCTGAGAGATAAGTGTTTCTGACATTCCACTTGCACAACTCTAGATGATTTGAAACCCCAGAGTTTTATATTTAAGACCTGATATAAAAAGTAAGGACAATTCTATCAGTTAAGTCAAAGAAAACACCTTTTACTACAAAGAAAGAAGCAGAAAAGAGCAAACTAGTCAGACTAGAGTATCCTGGGATCTTAGGGTGAGGGTAGAATGATAAAAATACCCAAATAGGTTTGGGAGGGAAATCTCAGGGCATAGAGGGTTTGCTTCAAAGTAAAGAGAGTCCTGCTTCTTTTTAGCAGTGAAAGAAAAAATGCAAACCCTTAAGAAAGCTCTGTTCAGTATGGCACTCTCCAGACCTAAGAGTTCCTCCAGCAGATGACTGAGAATGGAAGAAGGATGTGAAAGTAATTTTCCTAAACCCTGCACACTGCTGACTGGGACAGAGGACACAGTGGAACATATCTAGCTACCTGACCGTCAAAGCATACTTTCCAGAAGAATCAGGGGACTAAGACAAGCATTGAGGCTGAACCAAGTTAAATAGGAAAATAAAAACCTTAAAACTAAAAACTATGACTACAAGTCAGTACTGGAATAATTCCCAAGATTGCCAAATTAGATGAATTACAACTTCACAAACCTGGAATTCCCTCATTCTCTTTCCTTTCTGTTGCATCTAAAATCTGTCTTGAGAAGAGAGACTAAGAATGGATACCTCTGAAAGATGAGATAAAAAGTACAAGCAGGGAGGAGACTTTGAATTGACTGAATAAACACCCCAAGAGAGATTGAACCAAGCCCAGAGGGAGAAAGAGAAAAGAATGAGTTATCTCAAATAAGGACCTTTACCATCCCCCATCATTATGGCAAAAACAAACAAAAAACAACACACACACACACACACACACACACACACACACATACACACACACACACACACATAGGGAACATGCTACAGAAAATAAAAAGTTATGTTTTATATGACATCTAAATTGCAGCATATAAAATTCCAGCCTTGCTATATTCTTAAGTAATATAATAAGTGCTATTAATTATTTTCAATAAGTCTGGCTACTATGCATTTCAGAATTCAAAACAAGTAGAATCTTTGCAAAGTTCCTAGAGTAGGTAGCTTCTATGGACCATAACAGGTCACACCCAGAAAAGAGAAGAAACAGGTAAACAGCATCCTTTAGAATATGGTCTCCAGCCACATATGTGCTACACATTATGCCAAGAATAGCTGAGGCTCTGGGAAGAGAAACCTGGTCACTACAGAGGACCAAGGTTCTCACAATGTGGGACTTGAAACCAAAGGCACAAAAATTTTGTGATAATATAAGTGAAAAAGGTTAATTATTCTCACCTTTTATCAACCCATTTTGCTTAAATTTTTTTCTAACTTAGTAAATGACATAAATGTCTAGCATTCACCACTCTTGATTCCTCCCCCACCCTTTCTTTCTTTTAATCTCTACAGCCAATGTATCACCAAGTCATATCAGCTTGTCTTCCACAGCTAAGAGATGCCCACTCTCTCTTCTACTCTGTTATCGTCTCCTGCCAATACTACTAAAATATCTTCCTACCTCGGACCCTGCTAACAACTTCGCCCCCTACAATTCATTTTCTGTTAAAAAACCTTAAAGTCCTTGAAACACTCCATAACTCCTATTTTATTTAAAATTAGGACCAAATTCCCATCATGCTTAGTTCTTAAATTTTTTCTTCCTTCTGCCCTCTATATTACTCTTCAATGGTGCCCAAATCCCCAGCAACAGTGGCCTCTCTGGTCTTCAAAATGACAAGCTACATTTCCCCACAGAGCAAAGATAGCTGATATTTATTCTCTCTCTCTCTCTCTCTCTCTCTCTCTCTCTCTCTCTCTCTCTCTCTCTCTCTGTCTCTGGAAAATTCCCTTCTGCAGATCATCACATGTAAGAAGCTCCTTCTTGTGATTCAGAACACACTTTAATGCCACCTTTTCAACAAGGTCTTCTGGGAACATTCTATCGAAAGCAATCCTCTTTTCCATGAGATCCATTCATTTCTGTTTATGGGTATATAATCAAGTTATCTCTTCAGAATCCAAGTTCCTTGGAGGAGTGGGTCTTGTGTGTGTCTTGTTCATATGCATTTAAGTATTCTAACAATATTGCCAAATGAAAGAAGGAGTAGGTTAATGTGGGGAGGGGGGTTAACTTCTTCCCACTGCTTCCTTTTCACTAACATCTTTTATGATACTCTCAATTTTGCCATAACCAGACAAAATGACTAAGAATCAGGCAATAAAAAACACAAGGATATGTATCTCTCAAGAACAGTAAGAAAAAGGCTTAAAAGGGGAATAAGAAGAGAAAAATCTTAATTTATGAAAGAAAAATAGACTTTAAAATATTGTAGCCTCTCATTCAAGGTTGGGCCTTCCAAATCAGAAATATAAAAGAAAGGAAATGTCTATGTTTTATAAAGTATTTCATTTTCTAAATAGAAATATTTAAAATTCATTAGGAAATGTGTTACATAATTGGTGAGTCCTCCTAAGAGGACTTACATTAGATCAAACGGAAGATTTTAATCTGCTGAGTTTTCATGAAGCAAGACAGCCATCACAAGACACACTGTCTTTTCACAAATGAAAGATAAATAAGCAATCAGCACATAAGGGATGAGAAAAAATAAACATGCTTAGTACCTCTCAATGGAAAACTGACCTTAACAGATTTCTGAAAAAATACTTTCTTAAGTTAAATTTTAATTGATTTTTTTTCCTTAAACTTAAAAAGACAGTGGCATGATGTTCATGTAAAACTTTAGAAGAGTTTAAAATTATATGCTTATAATCATACAAATTGGTCTATCAGACTTTTAAGAGTATAATTAATGTAATTGTCCATAACATTATTGCTTTTTTTTAAACTGCAAAAATTATATTATTTGTGCTTGGACCACTACATAATATGAGGAAAACTTACTTCTTAATAAAAGCAAATTAACTAACCTATTAATAATCAGGTTCCTAATGCAGCATCATATTCTGAAATAAAAACTACATTCCTATCATGTTACAGATTAATATTTGTTCTCAGAACTATTTCCAAAAAAAAAAAATCTTACCAGACATAAACTGTATAATAGAGGATAATTCCATTTGGCTCCAGAGGTGGTTTCCATGACAACTTCACCGTGACACCAGACAACTGTTTTACAGAGAAATCTTGAGGGGGAGAATCAGGAGCTGAAAAGTGGGTACATAGAATAATGCATTTCATTAAACATATATAAGAAAAGGTTAAGATGGAAATAGGTTTTTTTAAGTGAAAAACTTTCTGGTAAATGAATCATGTTCAGAGCTTTTTTTCACAGGAACAACAGTCTGTTTACTTTCAAATGAGATGATAAAAGAAGATTTTGCATGGTGGTGTCAGAACATCTGTTTCTGTGATTCAATGGAAAAAAATATTTCATGAGAAAATAGAACAAGGGATATGTCACAGTGACTCACCTACTATTCAAGTACATCATGGTAAATGAGCATCCTCTAATACAAATGAAAACTTTATTGGGGTGAATAAATATAATGTACAGCCAAAAGCTCTCCAGACAATAAAGAGTCTTGGAGGCAAAATCACACATCCAAGAAATGGAAAAGGAATAAGCATTACATTGGGAAAACAGTTAAAATGACTGACCTCATTAAGGAAAACTACATTCCTCAATTTCAGTTGTGCCATTAAACTGTAAAGTCATATCAAACGTATTCACTGAGTCTTCAAAATTGAATAGTTTTCAAAAGAAACACGAATGTAGCACAAAAACGAGAAAAAAATAGGATCTACTTGTAATTCTGCTATAACAATATAAGAACACAAAAAATTAGCTATTTGATATGGAATAAGTGGTATAAACAATTACTGCAACCTGGTAAGACAAATTTTTATTTCCACTTGGACAAAACATTTAGAGAGCAATTCTCATGTGCTGTATTAATGTATAATAATGTCTTAAAATTGAAAATACAACTTTTTTGCATATAAAATAGTATAACTCACCAAAATTTGGTTCACTGTTGCAGTTATGAATGAAAAGTAAACTCATAGGTAGCTAATACAGATTTTGAGTATACGTTCAGACCTTTAAACTGTGTTAGTTGATATATAGTTCATGGATAGATCACTCTTTTCAATAAAAAAAGCCATTCTCTACCCTGATCTTCATTAATCATATGACTTGGCTAAGAACTTAGATGGATGTTTACCTCAAAAGTCTACACTTTTAACAGCCTGTGTAATTCAGATACATAACACAAGTTGGAGTCTTGACTTGACTGGTTAAAGCTCTGACTGCACAAAATGTATGTCCAGTATGGCCTGATTCCTTCATATAAAATCTCAAATTCTCACCATTAGGACTATTTGACTATATTATAGATAAAAGAGTGAGTACTATTTCCAGAAGGGCATTGTTAAAAGTATTTAGTACATGTTATCATAGATCATATCTAAGAAAGAGAGCTAACCTTCACCCTTACTCTTCCATCATTGACATACTGGGAAGGATTTATTTATAAAGTTAATTTGCACTTTGAGAACAAGGAGAATCTATAAATGAAAGAAATGAAAATTCAGACAGACAGCTTTGATGGAGAGTAAGTACAATAAATATAGACAATGACAAGGGACAACTAACTCATAAGAGCACTGTACTTAGAAACTGGGGCAGCCCAGTGCAAAGTACCAGGACACTTTGGTGAAATACTTTGGCGAAAGTTAAAGAGAAAAGGAACTTGCAAAAGAAGCAAAGGGTCCCTAAGTCTTTGTTATTTTGAATAGAGTAACAGGAATGCAGGAAAAAAAAATAGCTTTCATCCTTTTGGAAGTGTTTAATGTACATTCCTCCCTTATGGGTGATGCTAGGGAGATTTTCAACATCGACAGGGTACAGGCTAGCTAGAAGGTAGGAATCTTGAAAGAAAGAAAGGAAGGGAAAAAACTCCATAAACACTTAAGAGGCATCCAGATCCACCCCTCATGGCAACAGGAATTCCTTTTATCAAAAAAAAAAAACCCAATTGTTTCAAAATATACAGTATATAAAATATAAAATCCAAATCCTAATACCAACTATAGCCCTCAAAAGTCATTTTCTTAACATGATACAAATCTAATCACCTTGTGAGATGCCAACATAAAGTGGTCTCAGTGGAAAAGCTGATTTTATTCAGGTTAGGAAAGAGTATATGTAAATATTCAATGTGAAGACTATTAACATTCAGGGCCAATTATGTTGAGAAACTTGGAAAACAGCCTGAATTCATTATAAAGCTAATTCTAATGCCATTTTAAAAATGCTGAAAGTTGTCATATACAGAATCTTCTCTAAAACTTATATAAATGAATGTTTTTATAAATGTGAAAGTGGAAAGACACAGTGGTAGCATACATCGTTTAATATTCAAGTCATTCAAACCAAATATTTAGCTCTAAAAGTTCCCATGAAAAACATATTGTGTGAAGAGTAAAAATTTGCTCTCAAAATGTAGGCCCTCTGTTCACCTCACAGATAGTTTCTTTTGCTGAGAAGAAACTTTTTAGTTTGAGTCCATCCCATTTATTGATTCTTGGTTTTAATTCTTGCGCTATAGGAGTCTTATTAAGGAAGTTGGGGCCTAATCCCATATGAAGATTAGGGCCTACTTTTTCTTCTAATAGATGGAGAGTCTCTGGCTTAATTCCTAGGTCCTTGATCCAGTTTGACAGGGGTTTAATTTCATTGTGTTGCATATGGATTTCCAGTTTTCCCAGGACCATTTGTTGAAGAGGCTATCTTTTCTCCAATGCAGTTGGAGAAGATAATGCTAAGTGAAGTTAGCCAATCCCCAAAAAACAAATGGTGAATGTTTTCTTTGATATAAGGTGACTAACTCATAGTGGGGTAAGAGGAGGGAGCATGGGATGAATAGATAAATTCTAGATAGGGCAGAGGGGTGGGAGGGGAAGAGAGGGGGCAGGGGGTTAGCAACGATGGTGGAATGTGATGGACATCATTATCCAAAGTACGTGAATGAAGACATGAATTGGTGTGAACATACTTTATATACAAACCAAGATATGAAAAATTGTATTCTATATGTGTAATAAGAATTATGATGCATTCTGCTGTCATGTATTTAAAAATTAAAAGCAATTTTAAAAAAAGAAAAACATATTGGGCTTTTTCAGAATACTGATGACTTCAAAATTTTAAGAAGCGTTTTATATCTGAATTTATTTAATGTAAATCTTACTTAACTAGCTTCACGTATAACATAACCATGCAATCTTTATATAATCACATTATGGGACATACTGATAGGCGAGGCTAGGGGAATATTTACATCAGGACTCATTTTATATATGTGTTTCTTGAAATGTTATGGAATCAAAGATTATCAGTATGCACTTTTATATTTACCATCTTCCTCAGTCAATATGCCTATGGGTGCACTCCGAACTCCTTCACCTTTGAGTGTACTAGCAGACATCTCAATTACATATTGGGTATATTTTTTCAGTCCTAAAGAGAAATAAAATGAATAAGTTTGACACTTAGAAATATCCTTTAAGAATGTGAGAGAGTCAGATTATGAAATGGTTCTCAATTCCACAATTTCCCCCAAGTAAAAACTGAATAAAATGTAATTATATAGTAGTAGTAATTCCTATTATGAGAGAAAAAAATATAGGATAATGTAGAAAAGAATTAATGTAGAAAATTCTTTCATATAACATGCAATAAACTCCTGGCATATTGTACCAAAAAGAATTTTCATATCCTGTGTAGAAATAACTACACTAAAACCAATTATAATGTAAAATTCAGTTAATATTTTGAGGCCACACTGTCAATATAAATGTAAATATTCAGCATTTGATTTGTTCTTTTACCTTTAATGTTCTGGGTCAAAGAGGTTGTATTTATACTTTTTTCCTCATTTCCATTACTCCTCTTGAGATAAATTGTATATTTTTGTATAATTCCATTGGGACTATGTGGGGGAAGGAATGATATCTCAATTTCTTCAGAAGAAATATTTTTGTAAGTAATATTTTCTGGTGCACTACTGGGCACTGGATAAAATAAAACACATAATGGCATAAAAACAATTTCATCCTAAAAATATTTTCTGCTAAAATTCTCTAGAATATTTATATACAAATTAACTAGAGTGATTATCATATATACCCTGAATGAATCAAGGTGTATAAAAATTGGACCTTGCACAAGTGTACAGGAAAACAATTTCAAAGGAAAATGCATACAATGATTCTGCAGAATAACACAGGATTATACATTTATTAAGAGATTTAATACTGTAAAAGCTGTTTTGAACTGCTGAAAATGCAAATGCTAGAAAGAGAACAGGAAAGCACTTAAAAATTGATTTTGTTCTTCATTAATAATACTTTTTTTAAAAAGCTTAACAGGTTAGTTTCAGACCATAGCAAATTCTCTGACAAGACAAGGAACATCTCCTAGATCTGATGCTGCAGAGTATAATCTAGCAGCAAAATTGTCTCCTAAGAATAGAGGGCATCAGTAAATAAAATATTAGTTTTCTGCATTTAATAATGTTCCTATTATATCATATAATATTCATAAAATGACTCTGCATATTCAATTATAAAAACTATATATGGGATTCTAATTCTGGCAAAATATGGGAAAACATACTCTACACACATATCTTATTAAAAATAAAAATAAAACTCTGTATAACATTAAAACAAATTTTCTTTAAGAAATTGCAGAGTTGACAAAAAATAAATTAGTGGTGGCCAAAGAAGAAACAAAAAATTAAAACAGAAAACACATAAACATAGTGAAAACAGGAATCCAGAGAAGGAAGCTGTGCTAACCAACCTTGCCTTATAAGTGCCCATTATCCTGACAGTACTGCATTTTCCTTATTAACATTTGTGTAGACTTCCACAGAAAGAATATAAAGCCTTGGGGATGTTGAAAGAGAAGGAATATCCCTGCATAAAGGGCTGGAACCCCCCCAAAATGCAACTTCAACAAGAACCAATATATTGGAGAACTCCAGGGGACACAATGAATATCTCTGTGGAAGCCACAGAGTTCAAGTGAGTGTGATCCCCAGGACCAGCAATGGGGTGCCCTCATTCTCAGTGACTGGTAGAAATAAATCCTAATGAGGAAAGAACACACGTAGAAGAGAGAATAGAAACATTTTTCTTCTGACATTTCTGAGTGAAAAGGCAGAAAATAAAAAATATGCCATTTTGGAATTACAAGCCTATCCCCAAGAGCATATATGGCTTAAATCCATGATACTTGTATATAACCTAAAGAAATCTCTATTTCAGAATTTAGATTAAAATGAAACTGTGCCCTTACTCCTGAGCAATTATATGAAATAAATATAAATCCTCCCTGGAAGAACTCAACTTCAATTCAAACCACATAAATTACTCACAGATAAAGTGGAAATATGAGCTCACTAAAAAAAAAAAAAAATCACCGAATACACAAACAAAAATCACTAATAACACCAACAGTAAAAGTCAGCAAAGAAGAAGGAAAAATAACACACACAAACACAGTAATTATCTAAAGGCTTCAGATATGAAAATTATTAAATGTTCAGTATATTTCAAAAAATTAAATGTTTTTAAAATATCAGCAAAGTACTCTATAAATAACAATAAATAATATAGATAAGTATGGAATGGATCCAAATACATTTTCTAAAACAGAAGAACAAAATAACTGAAATTAAAAAAGCAGATTAGATAGATGAAGAGAATTCATTTAAATGATAGTAGTTTCAAAGAAATTAGCAAGAGGGTAGCTCAAATAGGAAAGACAGTGGAATGAATCTGACATAATTTCTGTATGTACATATATGACTGTTACCAGAGTGAATCTCCATATCATCTATATCCATAAGACTGGGCTCCTAATTAGAATAAGACATACTTCATGTTTATATGAATATATTAAAATATACTCTGTTATGTATACCTAAAAAGAAGAGATAAAGCAAACCAATTCATACAATAGTACAAATATGTAACAGCAAATCCCATAACTATGTATAACAATAACACACCAATAAAAATGTGGAAAATAGATGATGTAAAAGAACTCAGAATGACACCAGCAAAGTTATTACCAGTTGATGTAAAGTCCTATATGAGAACAGAGTATGTTCACTGGGTATTTGTTTTATAATCATAGAAAAAGTTTAAATGTATACCTATATAAAGCATGCAAAGTGGGATTTATCAACTGTCACAGAAAATTATAATTTAAAACATTTACATTACTTTCAGTAAAATCATTCATCAGCAATTAAAAAGAGTGTGCGGCTCAAAGAAAAAATTGGGGAAAAGTGTAGAATGGTAGTTGAAAAATATAAATGATCTGCTGAAGGGGTCCAAAATAACAGAATGAAGTAAAGAAATATCTGAAGGGATAATGGCTGAGACTTTTCAAAATTTTTGAAAGATGTCAGAGTTCAGAAGAAGAAATCTCAATAAATCAATAGAAAGAAATTTGCTTTTAAAAAATCATGTTTAACACATTGTGAAAATATAGAAGATCAAAGAAGAGAAGATCTTAAAGGCACCAGAAAGAAGACAAATCAATTAAGGAATGACAGACTGACAATTGACAAGAACTGAAGAACTACTAGAATTCTATACACAGAAAAATATCCAAGGGTGAAACAAAAATGTATTCAAATAAGCAATAACTGAGAGAAAATACTATCAACACCTCCAGTAAAAGAAATGATAAACAATATAGTTTAGGTACTTACTTACTTATTTATAATGCATACTGGATACTGAATTCAGAGACACTCTACCACTGAGCTACATCCCCAGCCCTATTCATTTATTCATCTATTTGTTTATTCACAGAGTCTTGCTAAATTGCCCAGGTTAACCTCAAACTTGATACCCTCCTGCCTCAGTCTCTTTGGTAGAGTAGCTGGGATTATATCAGGCATCATCACATCTGGCTAGGTACATTTTAAAAAAAAAAAAAAACATTTGCCCAAGATGAAAGACCACAATTATGAAGATTATGGCTTAAAAATTGCCTGTATAGAACAATAACAATAATGACTATTTAGGGGAGGGATTAAACAGTATAAAATAAGTACGTAAGCATTATTGCCATTTTATAGTCCTGTTATTAAGATTCTTTTCTTTCAAAAAAAGAAATTTAGCCATTTATTATCAGTATTTTAAATACAATAGGTTTTTTATACTTATATATTACTTATAAATGTGGTTAGAGTAACAAAACTTAGAAACCTTGAAAGCATAGACAATGTGTCCCCTCAATTATTATAGGGTATATAGTATCAGTTATAGGGTATGTGACATCGAAGGCAGATTTAATAGGAAAAACTGACATAAGAATGTCAAGACTTTGGGAAATTATTATTCAATGCATAGTTAGACATAACAACATATAGCAATATAATCCTACTCCCCTTCCCAACATCCTAAATTTCCACTGTCACTTTAAGCCAATCCACCATACTGAGAAAGATCCTCAAAACCCACTGTGAATGCTTCCATTATCTTCTGGCTCTAAACAAAACCTTAAACCTATTGAGTACATAACACTTGAGCTCTCTCAGGTACCAGACTTGTTCTTATAATCCCTCTAACCATAGGATCCAGGAGTTGGGTAGTCACATATATTACTCTTCTTTTCCATATGCAGATTTTTTTCTCCTTCTTTCTTACTAAAGAATCATAGATCCTTTGCAGACAAATTTCATCAAGCATTGTTGAGACACCTTCCTAACTGACCTCACTTAAATCACTTATGTCACTTTCCTAAAACAATCATCTGGCACCATTTCCCCCAAAGCTTAAAGATGTTGTCACCTTGGTGACTTATTTTCTCTCTACCACTCTTAGAGATGTCAGTATCCATGCAAATAATCTGCCCAGTTCTCTGGACTCCATGTTCCTTGGTCTTCCTAATGCCAGTGCTCTTCCTCCACACCCTAACCACTTCACCACACCCTAACCACTGGCTTTCATAGCAATACCTGAAACCTGGCCATTACCATTGGCTCTCAGTTCTCTTCTCTTGGGTACCACCTCCTGGCTCAAAGCTTACTGACTCTTGAATTCCCCATCCACAAATTCTTTGACCCTTTTTCACTGCCCATCACCTTCCTTATGTAGAGCCCAGAGTCACTCTAATCATTCCCTAGCAATTTCCACTGACTCCTTCCATTTCTATGTTACTTTCCTGGCAAAACTTCAATTCAGGTGAAATCAAACTCTATACTACTTCTACATCCCCATGGTAGCATCTAAAAATGGATGCACCAAAAACCCCTCTATGCAGAAAAAACACACTTCAATTTATCCTCTCAAAGGAGTCTTTTGCATTGCCTGGTACACATTTTTTAATTTTTTTTTTTAGTTAGTTCAGTCTGCCACTAGGTGTGTTTTCACCATCCCCTCTCTCCCTGAGCCTCTCCCTTCCTTATTCTAACCTGATAAATTTGCTTCTCGTTTTACAAACTCATAAATTTGCTTCTTATTTTACAAAACATAAATTTTACAAACTCAAAACTAAATTATCTTCCTACCACAAGTTTTCCTTTAGATGCCTATCCTCCTTTCTGCTTTCCAAGGTCTAGCCTCCACTACTGCATTATATTCCATTCCTCCTGGCTATTGAAAGACTTTACAATGTGAAACTATTCAGATGTATACTCGAACACACATGCATTGTAATGTGCATCATGGTAAAAAAAAATCCATCTCCTTCAATTCCACTCACCCTTCAGTTATTGCTCCTCCCTTCTATCCTTCACTTGGTATCAAAACTCAAAAATCTGTCTTTACTCAAATTGCTACACTTTCTTACTTATTGTTCTCTCTTCATCACACTTTAGTGAGGATTGTTTTCCCATTCCTTTCTATGAAATCTACACACATGAAGTCACCGATGACCTCCATCCTGCCAAACCACCAATCAAATGGATGCTCTCATTTTTCTCATTTTTCTTCACTTCTCAACTGCATTTTTTGAAATAAGAAATATATTCCTTCTAACTGAAAAA